TTGGCGAATCTGATTGGTTGAAATCGCTGGATTCCTATTGGTCATTATGAAGCGGGAATGTGTTACTCTCTGAGAAGCGTAATTGTATAGCAGTAGCTTGCCACACAAGCCGAACCTAAACTCTCACTGAGGGGGCTTGTCTCGCTACAGCTAGCAGTAGCATACCGTCACTTATCTCTATTTCAACAATGTTGTTTTGAGATTCCCCAAATGTCCTGTTATATCTTGGTTCCGTAACAATGTTATCAGCGCTCAGTTGTATTACAGTCAATCAAGGAACATGCATCAAAGCTTCATTTCTATTATAACTGTACGCCCTTGGTTTGTGAAGAGCACAGGTAACTGAACTGGAGTGGGCTGACTGTAAATATTCCAACAAAATTACCATGATCAATAAGTGAACTACAGATCAATGGTCATTGGGCTTGTAAGTACTGTTAAGGTCGATGACGTGGCCGACCAGTCACGTGTCATGCGATGCGAGTGAGCTGTGGCATGATTTTAGCTCTCATCACACCTCTCTCATTTCAAAAGAGGAAATCGAACACACCACTGATGAATAAAACGCTTGATTCTGGGGGGGGGGGGTGTGATGATCCGCCAACGTATTGGAGCTCGAATTCGAGTTGTCGCCGGTCACGTTGATTAGGTGCTTTTATTCCGATGCTTGAATCTGCTGGACTTTTGTTCATATCCGGTGGTCCACCAGTAAATCCATAGGTATGCAACCACGGGAGCGTTTCGTTGGGTCTTGTCCCCAGGTTCTAGGTCTGAGGTGGTTGAAATGTCTAGTCCATACCAAGTGTCAATTTTGACTTTACCTGTGGCGGATCCATCTTGTTTTATAATCTCTCCGGGAATCTATCTCAGCAATCCATTTCAAAAATTACGTACATAAACATGATCTTCTGCATTAAAATTTCTCAATATGACGTTAGTATTCTTAGCGATGTGTGATTCTTCAGTTTCTTGCGCCCTCGGAATCGTTGTGTCGAGAACTAACCGCATTTGCGACCAAGGAACAGTTCGGCCGAGAACTTCTATTTTGGGGTGGCTGGGTTGGGAGTCAGTAAGTGAGGAAACATGCATCCACAAACCAATTGTAGTTCACTCTTCCCCTGTGACTTAAACGTGTCAACGAATCGTTCTATTTGACCGTTCGATTGCGGTTGATACACTAGAGTGCGAACGTGGTGAATGTTATTTGCCGCACAGAACACAGTGAATTGGGAAGATGTCAACCTATGGCAGTTATCTGAAACCAGGACTTCTGGTATACTGAACTAGGCAAATAATTTTCTTAAGTTTGTTATGACAGCAGATGTAGTTACAACACGCATCGGAATAATTTCGGGCCACTTGGAATATGAATCGACATGTATTGGGTTATACATACCTTCAACAAGGCCAGAAAAATCAACGTGACCGGGGCGCCATGGCAGGTTACTATGATTGAGGTTCAGCCTTAGGTGGTAGTTTAGCTGCCACTAAACAAATGTGTCAAGCTTTAACTTCGTGTTCCATTTGCTGATTCATAAATGGCCAACAGGCGTAAGTTCAAGCGATCGCCCTTACGGCATGAATCAGGACCATCCGAAAAATTGCCAGGGTAATCGGTTTTCAAACGCGAAGGGAAAACACTCCTTTTTACACCCTATATTCACGCACCATCGATCAGCTGACTTAACTCTGAGGTGGACTCAGTGTCAGAACAATCACCATTTCCACTGAACAAGAACGGTTATGAATTCTATTTATCTATCCAATCCATTCTAATCAAATTCAATGATCAAGTTTAGATATGTAGCAAATACCGCAAGAACGACGATCACGAAATAGTAATTCACAGTTGAGCTGACCAAGAAATAGTATCTTGTCCCCGTATGCCGCCCGGGCAATGTGAGTGGTTCGCTGAAAAACTGGTTGGCCCAGTAACCCTCGGATGGTTGGAAAGAGGATGATCGCATCAGAGGCTGTATCCACTTGTAATTTGACTGTTTGATTATTGATACAAATGGGAACATACTTTCGATGGCATTTGAACTCAGGGGGTGGATTGGGGAGGGGAGGGGGGCGGTTGACGTTCATGGGAAAATAAGGTTCGATGAGCTGCGACGTCTGTTGTTTGCGATATGGAACGGTTTTGTTTTAAGCGATGGTGACAAAGGGTTTCTTTATGACCGACGACATCACAGATTACGCACTTATGTTGCCTGTATGCGCAAAACCGAACTAAATTCCACTGTCCGCAATCACGAAATGCGGTGCGAGGTCTGTTTTCCGTATTCTGGATGTGATTACTGCATTGACGTCAGTAAGTGGTAGGTCTTCTGTTTTTTGGATCATCTTGTCATAGTGTTTTAAATTCATCAAACGCTGCCACTCATCAGTAACTTGCTATAGCGTATTTTTGTGTCACTTTCGAGTTTGGATAATAACCGTGTCCGAATGTCACTTTCGGTGGAGGAGTGGAGACCACAAACAAAAATAAGAGTTTTGAACTGATTGTCTGTGAGGCCGTCGAGTTTGGACCGCTCGCATTCACGATTAACACGGCTGGTGTGGAAGACAATATTTTCGTCAACCGCCTTGGAAATGTTTAGGCGTTAATACCGTATATTGAACAAAGATCATCTTACACTAAAAATTGCATTAAGGTGTTTGACTGTTTTATCCAGGTCGATGTCCCTTGGATGTTTGGGAAGGATAAAATTCCAGTATTTTTCGTGTTCTTCCGGGCCCAATTTACGAAGTAAAACTCTAACACGAGTGGTATCGTCAGCAGAGGTGCCATCAATTTTCAGGATATCCTCACATCTGTGATACCATGACTCAAACGGGATATCAAAATCAGGCTCATAATGAAGTTCATCGATACTTTGAAACAGAGCTTCGACAGTAGAAATTCTTGAGTTATCTACATCTTGCTGCACAGAGAGCCGGCGAACCAAAAGCTCCAGTTGGTCCTGTTGTTGTTCTTGTTTTAATAGCTGCTGCAAAAAATACACTGGAATGGCCGTTTTCCACCGTCACCACAACCTCGTTTTTCTCAGGGCATTCGTTTCACATGAATTGCATCGAATCTTACCGTGTAGGTCGATGGATTCGAACTGTTGATCAGATCAAGCAAGATTGAACTACGTAATGTAGTGTGTTTCCGAGATTCATAGATCATGGTTCCTTTGTTTTGTGTTTGGCGAAACTCCTCACCCAATTGAATTCAGTCATCCATTACTCCATTGAAAGAACTTTATCGATTTCGTTACAAAATAACCTCTATGACCGGGATAACGCTATTGTCGTAAACTTTTCCCCACGTTTCATTTCAGGTGATACCGCACGTGCAAAATATCTACTTCAAAGATCTGAAACAGACTATGCGGAGAGAACAAATTGATGTAAGTTTGTAGGCTTAGATGAACACATTTACCCGCTTATCATTTCAATATTATTAACAAAGTGGAGTTGATCAAATTGAAAAATACCAAAAGAATTACGTCAACTGTCACTCAGCTTGAAGGTATGATAAGTCGACTCGCAGGTTATTTGCCACGCAGTATCACCATCATATCACACCCTCTTCCGGAAAAAAATTGTACGGCTGTTTTGTTCCCGTCTGGCACTGTCACTTAGTCAACTCGAGCACCCCGATTATTTTACCGTCCCTTTCATTTTTCACCTTATCATATTGAAAAGCTCACATTCGTTTTTTACGATGGTCTCCTATTGAGGAATGTGATAATTCAGTTTTTTAAACTATTACTGCAGTCGCGAAAACAGTAACTGACAGACGCAGAAGTAGTTTGAACGAAATAGATAGGGAATTTTAATTTTTGACAAATTGCCATAGGCAAATAAACTAAGCTGAGGCAAACAATTGTTTCCGAAATTCTCTAACATTCTATACCTTTTTCAATTTAAGACGTCCAAAATCCAATTTAATATGTCAGAATATGAATTTAAGATGTCCGGGTATCAATTTAAGAAGTCATGTTGTGATGTGGATAGGACCTTGCACAGCACAGGGTGAAAAACAATATGTGTAATGCCCATATTGATGCATGCCTAAAGTTTGCTGACAATATCCTATCTGATTGCACCCATCCTCTACACATTGACTTGTGTGCATGCAAATCCCACCCCTCCTCCCGCTCCAAGTACAAACTTATCCCGTCTAGCATGAATTTGTGAAATAAACTGTTAGTCCGTGTCTCCAGGCTGTCAGTTTAGGGCATGTCAACTAGCCAAACAAGTAGTACTTTTATCTGTTGCAGCACGCCATTGCTTGGGCGCAGAGCACGAGATTTGTTCTGAATGTTGGACAGATGTACACTTTTTCGTTCCATGTGTATTTTAGGGGTTTACGTGATGCGTACAATATGACGCCTGTCTGGCGTCCAATTAGTGTGGGAATCATGGACGAAGCCACCAAATGGCCAGGTTATTTGGCCTTTCAAGAGGGACATTGAGTGAACGAATCGATTTGTCTAAAAATACAGGTAAATGTTAGCGCCATCCAAGGTATAGAAGATCACAAACACGGTGATTCCATGGACGTTTTCTATCTAGAGATTGCCAAAACTGTTGACAAAAGGTTGAAAATTGGTTCTCGTAGCTCGGGTGAACTGAATTCCATTTCGCCTGTTCGCCGAGCTTGGCAATTTGTTTGCAAACGTTTCATCACCAGTCGTGGTGCCAAAACTAAACGGAATGGCAATGCCAAATTAGATGCATCTCCGAGATCAAACGTGTTCGCCTCACATTAAATCCCGTCAGATAAGCCTTCCTCTGACTATTCACACCTGAGGCAAATTGACGTTGCGCCAAAATTTATCTAGGGTGCGCAATACCTCTGAAAGGCTTGTTCGACGGAATTTACCAAGAGGCATACGGTGTTGGTCTCCACAATGTGTACTTTGTTATTAGCTCGCCATAGTTTCGACGGGCACTCTGTGGGTTCCAAGTATGAATTTCCTGTTTGACCACCTGTCTTTCTGTGCTGAAATGAGACAGCCCCCAGTCGTGCGTGTTGTTAAGCTCATTCACAGGATTCGCTTTGATGGGACGGAGAAACCGTGCGATTTGCGCGTGACATCTAACTGGACCGAAATCGATAAGCGCAAAGGAGGACACATTGTTGCCCGAGGGACACAGCTAAGACAGCTTGTCGTAGTTGACCTCATCAGCGCTGTCAGGCGCATGTACTGTTCAAGCCTCCTAGTAAGGCCTCGATGATTAGCCCGCAGCACAGATCTCTCAAACTCCCGTTGAAGTGCCCATTGCCACAGCATGTCTTGGCTGTTCACCTTGCTAGTAAGCGAACGTGTCTGTGTGTCCATGTTTGTTCCCTCTCCCTGATATCACATCGTGCTCCGCTGACACGATCATGGATCATGCGTGATCAAAGCTTGGGCCATTTCTTACGCCTACCGCATATTGTTGCAGTAGAATATATGAGATACCCCTCAAGCGACTGCAGACTTGGGGTTGCAAAGTTGATTTAACCCCAGGTTAAAGCGCCTACAGGGTGATCGACTGGTAAAGACTGTTATAATCCATCACAGGGTGGTTTTTTGAATCATTCGATCAGGTAAAGGAAGGGTGCTCTATAAATATTTCATATCCTCAGGCGTATTGTCCGAAATGAACTCAAATGTATCAAGTCAAATCATGATGTCATTAATGGGCTCAGTGTCGTGATGGGAGAAAGCAATGCACACACCACTCTCAATGATAGGCTTTCGTAAAATCAGAATCAGAATCACGGGAAAGGATCATTTCATGCACCATTAATTGCTCAGATTGTTTATCGTGTAAATGTGGCACAACAAGAGTCTAATGCATTAATTTATCGTCATTCTTCCCGAAGTTAACCCTGCTTCTCACGGCCAATCTGCCATGTGCTAAACAATTCAACGTGTTCGACAATGACATCGGTGTGGCACAACTAGTCCGTCTTCAAGACGAAAATAAGGTAAGTTTGTTCGGGGGTAAAATCACGTGCACACACACACACACACACACACACACGATGTGTTCTCCTCCACGTGTCAATTTTCCTGATTGTAGGACTATCAATTCGAAGATATCTTGAAAGATGTTCTGGAGGCGAACGGAATCCCAGTGGAGCAGAGTCACCAGTACTTTCTTTGCGATGAAAGATCAAGTAAGTGTGATCTCCGGCTATTTCTGACATCCAATCAGTTCAACTCGATTCAGTTTATGATCTGTTTCTAACTAGAACCAAATTACAAACAACCCGTAACCTTGTTTAAAGTCATTTATGTTTTACTCAAACGAGAATCGAGATGTAACCGGAAAAAATTCGACTGGGAACATGAGTAATGCAAAATCTGGGGTGGGTGCACTTCGGTGCACACGCAATCGAATTGATAACAACATAAGCACCTTTTGGATGATACGAAACCGCCCAATGAGTAGTTAATGGAACAATTTATATAATAAAATGTCATTTGACTGTCGGATGAATTTCTTCGTTTACGAACTCAAAAGAAAATGTGAACAGAAAAATCCAGAAGTACCATACAGTCGCTCGGATCCTTTTCAGTCTTATCAGCATTGTGAATCAATCGCCCCAAATGAGGACCTAACTTGGGACCTCAGAGGGAGAAGGCTAACATACTGTCTACTTAACCGTTGGACAGTGGATCAATCTATTCGGCGGTTTTTTTAATGGATGTAACACACGCGTTCTGTGCAAGCATCCAGAAGGCAGTAGTATCAAGTATGTAGTCTGTTCACGCCCCAGCTACGCGAACCCAGATTCCATCCACGGTTGGCTCAGAGATTGAGACTTTTGTTGACACTGATTCTCATGTCCGAGGCGGTCGCACGTTGTCTCCTAGTTCACAGACTCACATATTTCCCATGATATTTATATGGCGACATTCATTCTGTGTTCATTTTGCAACTCACCTCTGTATAAATGGAATTTTTGAGAGTCTTGCAGATGTTGAAATGTAGACCATTCGTGAGGTGCCCCTGGAAGATTATCACTTGCTATGGCATGAAATAAGGAGTGTATAAATGTATAGCGCTTCAAATGCTTTGTCATTGTCATTTTTCTCGTTGGGTGTGTATGTGCATGGTGAACCGAGTTTTTCCGACCAGCAGCCTTTTAGACATTCTACCAGTTAACCCCGCTATTTTCACTTATTTCGTTACTTGCACAAATCCATCCCATAACTGGCTGAAGGTCAAAAATCACAAGGTCAGTCATGATGTTGGTATTGAATTTTAAGATGGTATGTATTGGTGGGAGTGTTTGTCGCGGCAGGGACTGGGTGGAGAAAGTTAAAAGTGGACAAAACAAGACCTGGTATGAGGGAATCAAAACCCCAAACGTGAGTCTCGATTACATAGGTCGAGTTAGGCTTCCTTGGGGGGAATGTCGAGATTAGCACAACCTGGGTGAAATGACTGATTGTTGCACGCAGTAACGTTATTGTATCTTCTCAGTCTCTTTGTAACTGTAGTCTACCAGAATTCTCCATTCACGCTTTGGGGCTGTTCTCAGCATTCCAATAGTCTCTCAACTCTGTTATTCAAATGGGCAGCCAGAAGACAGCAACCATAACCACCACAGAAACAGCATGGATAGTGGTTGTAAAAACTGTAAACTGAAACCGGTGGTAGCCCATTCAATTGTTGCTTTTTTCGCTTGTTTCTTGCAATCACATACATTACCTTGTGTCCTATCGTAACCAATCAAATCTTGTTTGTAATAAAGTACTTTAATCACCAATCGATCATTAATCGGGATTCTGCTTCTTTTTCCCTCCTTAGACATAATTCGTAATAGTTCCCATTACGTACGGGATTTCTATCCATTCAAAAGGAATCATACACCTAAACTTCGGCTAAAACAAATGGAAAAGGACCAGGGGCTTTCTTTGCTACAACGAAATGCTTTGAATCTGAAATTTCAAGAAATTGGCAAAGTTCTGTTCACAAACACTGTTCTGAAGTGTACACCGTCCGCCCAGGTACGTTACTACGTTTTGATATCCGCTGGGGGCGGTCGTTTTACGCGATCGTGACGATGAAAAGAATAATAGTAAATAACATTTCTCACAAGCACCATCTTTTGCGAATTCCTTTGAATCCAAGGCTACTGTATCGATTCACAGTGTGTCGTACCGACAGTGTATA